ATATTTGAAATTCCAGGAATGGTAATTCTTTTAAGGCTGAATCCATTATTGAATGGAAAAACCTAGGTTTTTACTCCCAGTAGAGAAGAACTTTGAGTCAGTTGCACTTACATGATAATTGTTATTTAAAACTAAAACAAAGGTTGTATTTCCAGAGATAAACTTGGGAGATCCTTGTTGGTGAAGTACAGCCAGATCTGATGTACATATAGGTTTCTACAGGAAGAGATAGTATAATTTAGGATTTGGAGACTTAAAACCAGGGCTACCCAGGAAAAGTGACTTGATAACATAGTACCTATAAGTAAGGGATGCTCTCTCCGTTTGCTTTTGCCACTTTCAAGAGTTTAACTTCTCAGGTTATTAATTATTGTATAAGTTAGCCATTAGAAACTAGGTTAAAACAACAGATGGGAGGTTTGTGGAGTGTCTAATGTCATGGGCATTTTTAGTAGCATAGACCCTTTTACTCTGCATTTGAATGTTCCTTATTTTTTTGTTCTATAGTTAATCTTCCCTTCCCACGTTTGCTATTCAAATCAAATGCCCAATGACATTTCTAGTAGTTTCATGTATTTTATAAGGAATAGTTTGTGATTCCAGCACAGGTGTCTTTGTTACCATTATTTCTACACTGGGAAAAAAGCAAAAACCCCTTTGTTAGAATTACTGCACGTTTATAGGGCAGACATTTCTAAAAGCTAAAGTGATACAAGTGAGCACAAGAAGTTAGTCAGCTTAACTATGGAATGGTGGCAATAATCCTTAAACATTCCAAAAGACTGAGCTGAACCTAAACTCACTTGTTATCTGAACAGACATAGGAACATGGAATTATCACTTGAAAACTGTGACCTGCTAGTCTGGACCTCAGATAGATGGGCCGATGGCCTAAAGCCATTTCAAGAATAGAAACTACAGCTATGTATATTTGACCATTAAGGGTGATTTTTTTCCTTTACTTTTTTTTTTTCCAAAAAGCGTATTTGTAAACTCAGGCTCACAGGAGTGGCTTGATATTCTCAAGTCTGATTTTGAGTTGACATTTCTTCCTTTACTACTTTGTAGTTTGCCTTCCCTTTCCTAAGGCAATAGTGCACAACTTGGGGTTTTTGCTTCCATTCTTTGAAACTGTCATGCCATGGATGTTCTTTCTTTTGCAAGACACCTGTTTATCAACTTGTTTAAATGTAAATGTTCCCGTATGCTTTTTAAATAAATTTCCTTTTGTAATTTTTGTTTTGTGTCTGGTGTTATAACTTTCTAATTTTTGGATATTTATTAACATTGATTGCTTCTCCTGTGCCTAGCAGTGTGTTAGACCTTGAAAATAAAAGGACAGGCAAAGCCCTTCAAGGAGGATAGTCTTTCTTGAAAAATCACCTCATCTAGATTTTTTATGAGCTTAATAGTCTCAAAAAAAAAAAAAAAGAATTTGGTTCTTTTCATCAAAACATCACACTTGTAACCCCAGCACTTGAGAGTCTGAGATGGAAAGTCATGAGTTCCTAATACATTCCAAGACCTTGTCTTTAAAAAACAAAAAAAATTGGGTTCTTAGCAAATCATGAAATGTTGTTCCCATCCTGAAGTAATAAGCAAAGCAAGTTGGAACTAAGAAAGTTGCCAGCCTTTTTTTACAGTGATTCCTATAAAAACACTAAGACATGTTCAAGTTGGTGTAGACTACAGAGAGACAGTAAGACAGGCCAGCCCAGGGAGTTTACATTTTACTATGTAGCTCTGATGCATTTAATATTAGAATAGTAAGGGCTATGAGGACAGCATTCCAATGTGTAATTAAAGCAAGTTCAGTAACACTAGCCAGACAAAGCTGAATAACTTTTGAGTAAGAAAATGGGTTGTATCAAATCTCTTAGGTTCTTTAGTTCTCTATCTCTAGAACTCCTAAATTCCCAGAACTGCTTATTATAGTATTGGAGAATATTTTCTCTGGGAACATTGTCCCTTCATTCTGCATAATCATTATGTCAGAATAGATTTCACTGTGAAGCCTTGCTTACAGCATGGCCATAGTACCAGTGTACTCCCTTAGCTTTCAGCTTTTTTTTTTTTCTCTCATGTTAGAAACTAGAAGAGGCCAGGCATCAGGGGTTCATGCCTGTAATCCTAGCTACTCAGGAGGCTGAAATCTGAAGATTGTGGTTCAAAGCCAACCCCAGCAGGAAAGTCCGGGAAACTGATCTCTTAATTAACCACCAGGAAACGCGAAGTGGATTTAAGTACTATGGGAACTAAAATTTAATGAAATCTAATCTTCACGAAAATATTAACACTCCCTAAAACCACAAACAAGATTCAGCAAAACTGGTCATTGGACAGCTGATGATAGAAGCCCTACTTAGAATACATACAGTTCCAATATATTATTCCTCTGAGGAAGAACTAGTTGTATCCTATCAAGTGGTAAGAACAACAATGACCCAAACTCATGTCTTCATGAGTTGGAATTTAGTCACAAAAGTAGTATATTGCTTGAGTATAGACGAGAGATAAAACTTAGTGGCTAAAGGCAAGTATGAACAGTCAAAACACTGTTGACCAATGAGACTGTCCTCAAGTGTATTAGCTGCAAGCATTTGGATAAAAGTGGCTGGACAATATGACAAGAAAATTGGAGGATGACTGTCCTGCCATCCTCAGAACAACCCTAGTGTCAGAGACTTCTCAACTGATTTGACACTTGGTCACAGCCACAGTAGTCCTCATGCTTCAGACTTTAGACTTTAACTGTACAAATTTTATAAAGTCATCACAAAGTAACATTGTATTTACCAGTCAGTGTTACAGAATTCAAAGGAAGTAGACATGTTTATAGACAGGAATTTAAGTTGTAATTTGTGACAGACTTGAGAGGAAGCAAAACAAAAGACTGGGAACAGGATAAGTAAAAGCACTCCTAAGTGTTTTGATGTGATATTTAAAACAGTTCAGCAAAAGACTGAAGGAATAATTCATTGCAAGTCAGGATCTATGTGTAGTAGGCAGAAGTCTATGACTCCACTGATCTTGCTCCATAAAATACACAAACATAAATACCTATATATATATATATATATATATATGTATATGCTACTATAAAATAATAAACAATTTTTATTTGTAGACACGAGTAGGCCTCTACACCTAAAAGTAAAATAATGAAAACAAAGAGATGCCATCATTTGCCTCTTCAAAAGACTTTGGTATCCTCTTTATTCTGTTTAAGCTCAGCATTAAATATGCCCAAGTTCTTATAGCCTGAAACCAACTTCACCTGTATACATTTAACTGTTTGTTTTGCCTGAACCATGACCTTTGGACAAGTCTTTCTTCAGTTGGTTAATTGTCCTCTTCTCTATGCACCTGTATGCCCCTTCCTTCACACTATATTTTAATTATTAATGCTGATATCCCATCGTATTGCACACTGCTCAGTGGTCAGATTTCCATACCTAGATACTCTTCACCTATCAGGCAAAATAAGTCATTTAATAAAATGTTCATCACAGACTTTTAATAAAACCACGCACACTTTAAAAACTGAGCATGAAATGGAATCACGTGCTTATGCACTTGTTTTTATTTTCTTGTCACATACTTACTGTAGGGATGTGGTCAGACAATACTCTCATTCAGCTTTTCCCCAAAAAACCAAAAGCATGACAAACCTAAATACAAAATGACATAGAAAGCTAGTAGTGAAATAACTAAAAATAACCCATCTGGCTAGAAAGACTCTATAAAGTAGTTGCTTGTCCAAAGGTTCACTAGAAGGAAGTAGTTCTTTCAGACTTTCATATACAGTACCAAACACCTGAAGCTCTGGTTAAAAGCACTCTGACTCAGCAGGCTACTAGTGGAAGAGGGACAGAAGGCCAGACTCTGAACTTGTACAATAAGCTCCCACATGATGCCACGGCTTTCCCACAGGCAGAACTTATTATCTCTGGTGCCCTCTTGGAGAGCCATTGGACACATGCAGTTTTACTAAGCACCAAAAATCTGCCTACCTTCAACTAAATACAAACCAAATTTCCAAGACCTGGGGAGGGGAGCGAGGGGGGGCGGAGAGGAGGAGGGGAAGGTACGCAAGTAAAATAGCTGAATCCTGTGTGTACAGACTTCACCTTGAGCAGGCAATGTCTCATATACAATGGGATATGTTTACAAATTGCTGGGCTAGGTCCTAAAATTTGCAGGCGTGCCTGCAGTAGAGTGCTATCAGCGTGCCCTGCCTTTAACACTGAACGTGGGGAAACTTTCCAAGTTGTAGGCAGTTCAAAAGCTTACCTTTTGTTTTCCCAGTAATTTATCAGAAATAAAAAAAGGCAAACGTATAAGAAAGGGAAATCCTAAAAATCCCGATCCGTCAGCTCTGGCTCCAGTGCCCACCCCTGGAGACGGGATCACAGTCCTGAAGACCAAACAGTAGCCCTGGGTGGCTCACCCCTGTCACCCCAGCTCCTCGGGAGGCTGAGATCTCAGAACTGCGGATCAAAGCTACACAGGGCCGGAAGGCCCAGGAGACTCCGTTCTCCAACTGACCACCCAGAAGCTGGACGTGGGGCGCCAGGGTGAACGACAGCCCTGAGCGAACAGGCTCAGGCCTCGAACGCAAGCCCTCAGACCGGCACCGAGACAAACCCAGAAGGCACGGCGGCGGGTCGCGCCTAGCCGCTCAGGTCACGGCCTGAGGCCAGGCCCGACAGGCAAGGTAAGCACCCCGCAGCCGGAAGTGTGCCGCGGCCCGGCGCGGCGGAGCGCCGGCCCGGACTCGGACCGCGCCCACGCCCAGCGCCCACGCCCAGCGCCCGCACCGTGTCACTGCAGGCCGGCCAAAGCCTCGCTCCGCGGCGGGGCCAGCGGACGGTCAGCGCACCGCGATCACCCTCCCGGCTCCGCCTCCCGCGTCCTCCTTCTCCGCCGCTGACCTCCCCAAGATGGCGGGCCGCGACGAGCCACTTCCGCTTCCGGTGTGACCAGCCCAGGCAGGGTGGGGGGGGCCAAGATGGCGGCAGCAGTAGGGGTCCGTGGCCGGTCCGAGCTGCCGCCTTGCTCCGGCCCAGGCTGGCTGCTCAGCCTCTCTGCCTTGCTGAGTGTGGCGGCGCGAGGGTCCTTCGCTACCACGCACTGGGTCGTCACCGAGGACGGGAAGATCCAGCAGCAGGTAGCGGCCAGGGCGCCCCCTCCGCGCCTCGCCCGCCCCGGGGCGCCTCGCCCGGCCCGCACGCCCGCTCGCTCCGGCCCGCTCCGGCCCGCTCCGGCCCGCTCGCTCCGGCCCGGGCGCCTGGGGGCCGGGGGGGGGGGGGCTCCGCGCGGACCCGCCCCGCCTCCCCTCCCTCCCCTTCCCCCGCCGTGGCCAGGGCGGCCCGGACGTCCTGGCCCCTGCGACCCCCGCCCTTCCTCCCCGCCTGGCCTCCCGGCCCGCCCGCGGCCGTCCGGGAACTTCTCCGCCTTCCTTCCCCCGCGCACCGTCTCTGGTGCTGGAGGGGGTGAGACATCACCCGCGTCCCGAGCCTCCGGGCCCACGCGCCGCCACCCGTCCCCGAGGAAGCCGAAAGCAGGTGGCGGCGCCGGGGTCTGCGCGCGTGCCAGGGCGGTGACAGCGGGGGCCCCGCCACCCCCCGCGCCTCCACCCCGTCGCTGTGGATCCTGTCCTGCCCCTGCTCCCTCCGGGCTCCTCTCCCACCCACCCGCCGGGCGGAATGGGTTGCGGGCTGGAGTGGTTTGTTGATGTTCGTTGTTGATAGCTTGGACCCTGTGCCCAGGTCAGCAGGGGACTCGGGAGAGACTGCGCGCGCGCGAGCTCTCGCTCCGTCCTTGCAAAGGAATGCTTGAAGATGCCCCGAGTGGCATCGCCTGCATCTTCCCTCCGTCCTCCCCCCCCCCTCCTCCCCCGGCAATTACTTGTTCTCATTTCCCGGTATACTGTACTTTGCATTGTTTCTCTCTCGTTACCCAGTTCCGGTGGTTCCAGCCCAAGTGTGCAGGATATGCGGTTTCCTGGATTCTTGAATGCCTGAACTCATTGCTCAGAGGAGAGACTGCTTTTCTTATATAACTTTATGATGCCTGCATTTGCTTTATGCTGCTGGCGTCTGAAGAGGGTGTGTGTGTGTGTGTGTGTGTGATGTCACAGAATCTTGGTAAACTTAATGATTTTCAGCACATGAGAACCATCAAGTAACGCTCCGCATTTAGAAAGTGAAGTGTGTGCCTCTGCCACTAAAGAAAACTGATCTCAAACGTTTTTAACGTTCAGACGTTGTGAAGGGCAGTTGTTGGGCCACTGGGTTGACTGTAGTGAACGGTGAATGGAACACAGTGTAAGGTTTACTTTTGTTTAAAGTGAGATGAAGATTTTTATTTGTCTGGTGATAACAAGTTTTATAATGCAGGTTAAACAGACATGATTATGCAGCTTACATTAGAAAAAGTTTCCTTCTCATTGGAGTACTAAGCCTTGAGATGTATATATGTGTGTCCCAGGAATCCTAGGAATCACTGCAAGTTTGTCTTTCTGATGTATGATTGGAAATCTTGTACCAGCTCTGGTTACTTCCACCTTTTAATTTCTAATGGTGGTTCTCCCTCAGGTGCTCATGAAGGGAAACATGGAAGTAAGTCACTTCTGCTCAGTTTGGGGAGCCTTTCTCCTATTGGCTCTTGTGCTATATATTTTCTTGGCCACAGCTATTTATATTCTATGACATTGACTTCTCCTTTCCCATTTTGGTGTCCTGCCACTCAGCTAAAAAGTAGCAGCCCATCTAAAGAGTGAAACTGGTAAAAATGTATTATTTATGTGCTGAACATTGCAATGGGAAAATGAAACCTGATTTAGTTTTGCACTTTAACAAATCTCTTCTTTTTCACATGGATACATATGTCTTAGTAGGGAAAGAGAGGGGTTGTTGGTTATTTGCCTCAGAAAAAGGAGGAAAAGCTGAAGAATCTTTTGGATCTCTGCAACCTAGACTCTGTTGTGAGTAGTTGAAGTTCAGAAAGCAAGATTGTGTGTGTGTGTGTGTGTGTGTGTGTGTGTGTGTGTGTGTTGTGTTGGCATAAGTGCCAGTACTAGGGCTTGAGCCCAAGGCTTTATGCCCTCAGCTTTGCTCATGGCTGGTGCTCTACCACTTTACCCACACCTCCAATCCAACTTTTTGCTGTTTTATTGGAGACAGAGTCTCAAGAACTTTCCTGCCCAGAGAAGCTTTGAACCTTGATCTTTCAGGTCTCAGCTCCTGAGTAGCTAGGATTATAAGCATGAGATATTAGCACCTAGAATCCTCTTTTTTTTTTTTTTTGTTCATCGTGGGGCTCCAATTCTGGCCCTGGCACTGTCCCTAAGCTTTTCAGCTCAAGGCGAGCGCTCTACTGCTTGAGCCACAATGCCACTTCTGGTTTTCTAGTAGTTTATTGAGATAAGAGTCTCATGACTTTCCTGCCCGGGCTGGCTTTGAACCGTGATTCTCAGATCTCAGCCTCCTGAGTAGCTAGGATTACAGGCATGAGCCACGGGCACCGGGCTCTCATATTTTTTTTTTATTGATTCTTTTCATTCAATTTTTTAATACTTTCCTATACTTAAATTTACATCAAATTTACATAAAGTCCAGGCAACCATGAAAATTTTCAAGTAGTCATGAAATTGTATATCAAAAGAAAAGTTGCTGTCTATAGTCTTAAAAAGAGGTTGCAAGTTGGATTTCATGAGGGAAAAGCAGCACATATAAATAAAAGTTAAATAAACAGATTTTAAGTGTCACTCTGATAAACTATGCATTACTCATTCATCCTTTCCTGGTAATAATTTGAATGCACATAGAATCTAAACTCATTTTTTTGTTGTTGTTGTTGTTATTTGGGGTTTTTTTGTCGGTTGTGGGGCTGAACTCAGGGCCTGGGTGCTGTTCCTCAGCTCCTCTGCTCAAGGCTAGCACTCTACCACTTAAGATACAGTGCCACTTCCAGTTTCCTGGTGGTTTATTGGAAATAAAGAGTCTCACGGGCCTGCCTGGGCTGGCTTTGAACCACTATCCTCAGATCTTAGCCTCCTGAGTAGTATTACAGATGTGAGCCACCAGCACCTAGCCTAAACTCAGTTTAAATTGTAATTAATTTTCACATTGAGATATACATAACCAAGTAAGAGATACCATTACTATCTATAGATCTATTTGTACTTCAGAAACAGAATTAACTAAAACCTTTGTATGTGTGTTGACTTAGTAAATACCTGCTGCTTATCCTTGGTTTTATTATCTGATTGAGAGCAGAAGTATCATTTCAATTTTAAAATGATCTCATATAAAAAGATCTAAGGGCAAACTGAAGCTGCAAATCTTAAAAAATTAGTTGCTGATGTCTCTCTGATTGAAACTGAGATAGTTAAACCTATCCAAATTAAATATAATAGGCCATTATTTTCCACAGTAATATGGAGAAATATCTAAGAAATAAAAATGTAAACAGCCCAAGGTTTAAATTTAAATAGGGACACTTTCCATCGTTACAGTTAAAGTCAAAAGTTCAGCAAGGAGTCATTACCAAGAGAAGTGAATATTGACTTGATTTTCATATCTCAACCCTTAGTAGACCCTGAAGATATGGATCCACCAGTTCCCTACTGCAGACTTGTGAATATGCATATATTAGAAACTCCACTGTCCATAAGTGGGTTCAGTGTCTTCCCAGTCAGAGCTGGGGCTGCTAGGAGCAGCAGGTAAGTACTTATGTCAAACCAGGGAATTGTTTCTTCCATAATCCCTACCTCAGCAAGGGCATATACACTCCCTAGCTTTACGACTGAGTGTTCTTGAACTGCCAATAAATATGGTCTAGGGAATCCTAGAGCTGGGATGTGAAAAGAATACTCCAGTTGCTAAATTCTCCCACTGTGAGCCGAGGAAGGCTAAGAAAAGGTCCCCTCACTCCAATTCTGTGCTTTGCTCTCAGCTTTGGGCTTTGGCATATCTTCAATCCCCCACTGTTGCCTATACTTGGCAACTAGGAAGACATCTCACTTTGTTTTAACACTGGTTATTAATTTGCAGACCATGGGCTTGAAGAGTATGCTCATTACAAGGATATACAGTATCATCCATCCGGTCAATGGACTTTTGGTTGACTGTGAAGAATAAGTTTCAAGATAAATATTTTTTTCTTTAATTTTGATGTTCTCTTTGCTTAAGTATTCATGTGGCAATATTGCGTGTGTGTGTGTGTGTGTGTGTGTGTGTGTGTGTGTGTGTGTGTGTGTTTTTACTGGGGCTTAAACTCAGGGCCTTGCACTCTTGCTTGGCTTTTTCTGCTCAAAGCTGGTACTTTACCACTTGAGCCAGACCTCCACTTCTGTCTTTTTACCAGTTAATTGGAGATAAGAGTCTCTTGGGTTTGTCTGCCCAGGCTCTCATCAGACTACCGTCTTAGGTCTCATACTCCTGAGTAGCTATTATTAAGAGTGAGCCTCTGGCATTTGGCCTATTCATTTTATTTTTTTTTAATGCCTGAAACTCACTTGCCTCAAATGTTAAATAAGCTTTGAAAATTAGTTTAAGAACCTAATCACTCTGTATTTCATCTCATTTCCTTGTGTGTGTGTACGTGTGTGTGTGTGTGTGCGCGCGCGCGTGTGCATGCGCACGCGTGTGCATACATACCTGCTAGGGTCCTGCTGCGTGAACTCAGGGTCTAGACACTGTCCCTGAGAGTTTGTGTTCAAAGCCAGTGCTCTGCTACTTTGAGCTACAGTACCATTTCCAGCATTTTGGTAGTTAATTGTGGAGATAAGAGTCTCATGGACTTTCCTTGTCCAGGTTGGCTTTGAACCACTATTCTCAGATATCAGCCTCCTAAGTAGCTAGGGCTACAGGCATGAGCAATCAATATCCAGCATATCATCTAATTTCTGTAGAAATTTTATGTTCCATACTTTGTACCAACCAACAAATGAACTCAACATGTTGCCAATTTGTTAGTTTCAAGCTTATTAAAACAAGAAACTGTACTTCTAGCACAAGATTCATTGCCTCTGACCTATTTCTTTTTCTTTAGAAATTGATGTCTAAAAATTTAAGGTGTCATTATTAGCCATGCTCTCATAAAGTAACATTTGTTTTTCTTCTCGTCTCATGTTAGACCATGGAGTTTTAGATTTGGATAAAA